TATATAAATGTAGTTACTTTTCTCTCATGACTTGGTCAATTTATTTATTATACAAGACCTAAGTTAGTTAGAATAGGATATTTGTACTTATTGTATATAATTTCGTAGTAGGTTTAGAACTTTCTTACTTAAACAAAAGGGGGAGGTGTTGCGGGAGGTCCTTCCGCTCCTTCAGCCTATAGCCGCTGAGATACCAGCCCATTGGGGCGTGGTCTCTCTCCCTTTAAAAAAGTGGCCACTTCCCTCTCCTCGCTCTCTTCACTTCCTGCTCTGCCCGCGACTAGACTCCTTCCTGACTGTGCAGAGGGCTGTTGTCTGGGACGGTTATCTGTACGTTTTTTCCCCTTTAAATAAATATCACCCTATTAATCATAATTCCAAATTGGTGTGGCATTGTTTGCAACTTATGCCAACACCTGGCACCAAGTATGACTCAAGTCTTGATGGGAGCAGGTAATGTCATAGATAAAAGGGTCTGTGGTGTCTTACCAACATAGTGTTCCACATCCCTCACAGTGAATGATGGAGAGGGCAGCGTCATCCCCAATCCATCCTTCTTCAAGACGAGTATAGGCACACTGAAACTATTCTCTTCCAGGAATTCCACCGTTAGCTGACTTCCCGTGGGTTTCAGAATCACTTCATCTGAGCTGTGTGGGTCACAAGAAAGAAACCTTGACTTTGAGATTTTGTTCACTAAAGGCATTAACGGCCGGCCTCTCACGTAAAGGACATAGTCTTCCTGAGGGAGCCTTATATGGGGTGACAATTAATGGCATACACCTCATATGCCAGGAAAAAAATGACCTCTTCAAAGCAGGAGACAAGGTCATTGACAGAGGTGGGAATATATGGTGAACAGACTGCTCTTTTCTGAATAACAAAGGAAACTAGTCAATAGCTTACCTAAGGAAAGATATAATTAACAATTTTGACTCATTTGTTCTAACCCAGAATAGCAACGTCCAATTTAAAATGTTAGTGAAAAGAACAAAGACTGAGTTTTTACAAAACAGTATATAAACACTTTCTCAATACATGCACTTATAAAAATGGAAATTCTTTTTTAAATTTTTCATAAAATATATTTCGATGATATTCTTTTCTTTCCCTTCCCTCAATTCCTAAACATGATAGAAAAAAAGATAGTAGATACATGGAGGTATAGATTAGTACCAGAGCACTTACTTAGCTTGCATTGAGTCTAGGATTTCAATCTCCAGAACCAAAAAGAAAATGAAAGAAAAAAATAGACTATGAAGAAAAGAAAAATGAGTCATATCGAAACAAACATATTAAGCTCAGTATCTGTTTCACTCTCTATGTAGTTCTAGATGGCACAAAAATTAAACTGCAAAAAGTAAAGCCATAAAGGTACTAGGGAAAAACATCTAAGAGATAAGACCTAGTTGCTACTAAAATGGTTAGTAAATAAATTGATCTGCATTAAAAACTAAAACTCTCTGCAAAAAAAGCTGTTATAAATTAGTTTTCTTCAGTGGAATCTCACTGGGTATATTAACCACACTTAAGGGTAGGTTCCATGCCCAGCAGTAGATGGTCAACACCAAATAAATTCAAAGATATTTTTGTAGATTTTTTTGTTTCATATTGCTTTGTTAGGGCTTTTTTTTTCTTTTTTCGGTCTTGTCTTTTGTTGATTTAATATTTTGTGGTGTTTTTTATGTGTATGTGGGGGGGCACAGAGAGATTTTCTTGTGAGATTGTTTTAGTATGGTATGTTTTTTTTTCTAAAGAGAGAAATAAAAAGTTCAGAGTTGGGTGGGTGAGGAAAATCCGGGAGGAGTTGGGAGAGGGGAAAAGCATGATCACAATATGTTACATGAAAAAAATTCTCAATAAAAATATGAGAAATGCTTTAGAAAAAAGGAAAACTGTCAATAAAGAAGACTCATAAATAACCAGGCAAGGGTGGTATACACGTTTAACCCCTGCACTCAGGAGGCATACGAAAGCAGAGCTCTGAGTTTGAGGCCAGCCTAGTCTACACAGTGAGTTCCAGAACTTCCAGGGCAACAAAAAACCTTGTCTTGAAAAACCAAAACCAAACAAAGGAGTCATAAGTATATAAAAATCAACCTCTTTCATAATTAAGGTAGCAAAAGTTAAAAAGATTTCACTAAATTTTGATTAGAACAAAAAGTTTAACATTTAAAAAAATATTGACCAGGATATAGTAAAATCAGGAGCCTTGACAAAATGTCTGTATATAAAACTGTACAACCTTTATGCAAACAACTAGCAATATTTATATAATCTTTTTTTCTTTCTTTCTTTCTTTTCTTTTTTTTTTTTTTTTTTTTTTTGGATTTTCGAGACAGGGTTTCTCCGTAGCTTTTGGTTCCTGTCCTGGAACTAGCTCTTCTAGACCAGACTGGCCTCGAACTCACAGAGATCCACCTGCCTCTGCTGGGATTAAAGGCGTGCGCCACCACCGCCCGGCTATTTATAGATTCTTCAGGCATATTCTTTTGACCTAACAATTTCACTTTCACACAGTTAAATCTACAACTGTACTTGTCACATAAGCAAAAAACTTAAGTACAAAGATATTCACTGAGGCTTCAAATATAGCCTGGTAGTAGGGTACTTGCCTAGCATGCATAAGGCCTAGGTTCAATATTTAACCACTGAAAACTAAAGATATTGACTACAGAAGCTTTCTTAGTAACAGTATAATATAATACTGAAATCAATTTAAATAGCCATCAATAAAAGACTGGTTAAATAAAATATATATCGATTCAATGAAATATTAAATGACCACGAATGAGAATAAAGAATATCTGTGTAAGATTTGTGGATTATATATTTGTGATTTCATGTTCAAGACATACAACTTAGGCTTAAAAACAAAAGTAATGTACAAAACATAGTGTTTCCATTGTTTCAAAAAATAAAAAAGGCTTTTTTCCCGACATCTTAGGGAGGCTGCAGTGGTCGTCGCCACTCTCCGAACTTCATCATGCCGCCCAAGGATGACAAGAAGAAGAAAGATGCCGGAAAGTCGGCCAAAAAAGACAAAGACCCAGTAAATAAGTCCGGTGGCAAGGCCAAAAAGAAGAAGTGGTCCAAAGGCAAAGTTCGGGACAAGCTCAACAATCTAGTCCTGTTTGACAAGGCTACATACGNGCAAGGCCAAAAAGAAGAAGTGGTCCAAAGGCAAAGTTCGGGACAAGCTCAACAATCTAGTCCTGTTTGACAAGGCTACATACGACAAACTCTGTAAGGAAGTGCCCAACTATAAACTTAATACTCCAGCCGTGGTCTCTAAGAGACTGAAGATTCAAGGTACCTTGGCCAGGGCAGCTCTTCAGGAGCTCCTTAGTAAAGGGCTTACCAAGCTGGTTTCAAAGCACAGAGCCCAAGTAATTTACACCAGAAACACAAAGGGTGGAGATGCCCCAGCTGCTGGTCAAGGTGCTTGAACAGGTTCAATCAGCTGTACATTTGGAAAAATAAAACTTTATTAAATCAAAAAAAAGGACACACACACACACATATATGTGGATACAAAGAGTATTTTTGAAAGAATGTAAAAGAAATTAGCTGACATAGGTAGAAGAAAGGATCTGAGGGGTCTGAGGTAGACTGACAGCCTTTAAATTTTTTTAAACCAATAAATTAGAAAACTAATCTAAATAACACTTGAAGAACAGGAAACCTGAAAACAGTTCAATGAATTTTAATTGAAAAAAAAAAAACGAAAACATTTTTGGCTGTTAATAAACCCAGGTTAATTGAAAAAAAAAGAAAACATTTTTGGCTGAAAAAGAAATACAAGACAAAAGAATATTTTAGTGTTAAAGTTTTCTCTCCTCTACAATGAGAGAATTAAATTTGCTGATCATTAAAAATTCTTCCAGACATTAAATGGAAGACTGTTATGACTATGGAAGAGGAAAGGGGGAGGGAATAAGAAAGGGTCATTGAATAGGTGACTATGATCAAAGTACATTTTGTAACATATGGAAATGTCATAACAAAGCACATTACTTCATAAAATTAATATACACAGGGGAAAACAAAAAGAATTCTTCCAATTCTAGCATTCCTCAAATGCTTATAAATTGACTAAGACAAATGTTGCTTCCCAACTACTGCAGATTTTTGTAAATAGACCATCATGTACTCTAAACATCAAGTGAAACTCTAGCCACTGTTACTTAGAAACTGACCAAAACAGAAGTTTCCACCCATAGGAGATTTTGCAGGGCCCAGAAGATAATCCAGACATGAGAGAAGCACTGTCAGTTGAGAAGCTGAAGGGAAATATGTTCAGCTTTCCATAGCCCTGATGCTTAATATTCCTTTGGACAAATAGTCCTCACCTGTCAAAAGTCCTACCCCGGAGTTCTCGAATAAACATAGAGCTCCCAGTCTTCACTGGTTTTCCCTTGTGAGTATCATGCCCTTTGGAAGACACACGGCGTTTCTTCACTAAACCAGAAAAAGACAAGAGGTCATGAGTTAGAATGGCCAGGAGCTAAGATTCCATGAACAAAAGCCTCCATACTCAATAGGTTATTTTCCAATCTAAAACCCCAGGAGGCATATAGAATTAGAGACTCTCTTATACTCAGAAAAGTTCCTGGGGAAGAGAGTGTGCTTCCTCTAGGCAGTTGCTAAATAGGGGAGATAAAGCTACGTACTTCTGTCCTCTCAGTTGCAATAGCTGCAGGCATGCCGGACTTGCGTAAGCAGTAATGTCTGAGACACTCAGGCAAAGGCAATTTGCACAAAGGCAAATGCTCTTCAAAACTACTTTGATTTGTTTCTCCCCTTGATCACTTCCTGATGAAAACTCTTAACATCTACTTACTAATGGAGGGTCCATGTAAGACCTCACAGTTGGGGCAATGGTATAGGTCGATATCAGCAGCTTTCTCCTCCTCAACACCAACACAACTGGAAAAGAAAAAAAAAAGCCAAGGTTTGTAAGATTTTTTTTTCTTTTAAAAGTTCTAGAACAGTGAGTGCTGCATAGCACATGTGGCTATTTATATTAATTAAAATTAAGTAAAATTGGGGGCTGGAGAGATCGCTCAGCAGTAAAGAGTTGCTCTTCCAAAACACCGAAAAGACTGGTTTTTGATTCCTAGCACCCAGAGGGAAGTCCACAATCCTCTCCAGTTCCAGGGGATCTGATTTCCTCTTGTTGCCTCCACTAGCACAAGGCACATGGTGCACATACATACATGTGGGCAAAACACTCATACATATAAAAATAAATTTAAAAAATTAAGTAAAATTTAAAAGAAGTTCTTTTATCACCCTAGCTATATTTCAGCAGCCACATGCAGTTAGCAGCTACTATATCATGCAGACTACAAAACATTTTCATTAATGCAAAATTCTACTGGTCTAAAACAATGATGACAAAATGTCATTAAAACTTAATTAGAGTTGGGCAGTGGTAATATATGCCTTTAATCCCAGCACTCAGGAGACACAGGAAGGCAGATCTCCACGTTCGAGGCCAGACTGATCTACAAAGCAAGTTCTAAGGCAGCCAAAGCTGTTATACAGAGAAACCCTGTTTTAAAAAAACAAACAAACAAAAACTTCATTAGGGTTCAGAATGATCAAAGCTGAAAGAAACTAGAGCATTCGTATGTGAATGAGCAGAAATATAGAAACCAAATAAGTAATTCTAAATGTTTCAAATAGCCACATTAAAAAAAAGAGCCTGATGTTCTACTCCAAACTTCTAATTTCCACATTCGGGCATTCTGGAGGCAGAGGCAAGATTATCATGTGTTTCTGGATACCCTCAAATATTAGACCAGCCTGGGCTATATAGGGAAAACCAGTCTAAAAACAGGTCTTATTTTAATGACATTTTATCTTGCTTTATGCATCCAAAATACTATTTCTTTCTTTCTTTTCTTCTTTTTGTTGTTTTTGTTTTCCAAGACAGGGTTCCTCTGCAACTGCCCTGGCTGTCCTGGAATTAAAAAAGATCCATCTGCCTGTGCCTCCCTAGTATTTAGATTAAAGGTGTGAGCAACCACATCTGGATCCAACATAGATTTCAACATAGAACCCAAACTTATAAATTTGTTGAGGTAATTTATTAAATAAAATTACTAGAAATATTTTATGGCCAACAACTATGAATGAAAAATTTTAGGTAATCTTTTGCAGCTTTATTTGAATTTTCTACTTGCTACAATGACCACATGTTATTTCATATTTTAAAGTTTAAAAGAGATTTAATTTTGTATGCTTATACATAAAACAGTAGTTTCACATACTAAACACTTCCCTCACAAAGGAAGGTGACAAGAACCCTTCAAATAATTTCTGGCTATGGTTAAATGCTTAAATTTTTTTATTAACCACATACAGCGAGGTGCATAAAAACATGGTAGAGCTCAAATTATTTCAGCCAAGATCATAACAAATTTCCTGAAATCAAGTCCCTTTATCTTTCTAACTCTATGTCTATAAACCTGTAGGATGTCAAGAAATCAGGAAACCATCAACTCTGTAGAGGTTAGAGGAGTGGTGCGAGAGAATTGTCTGTATTCTATCAATCATGTTTTAAATAAATGCTGATTGGCCAGGTAGGAAGTATAGGTGGGTCAATGGCCAGGTAGGAAGTATAGGTGGGTCAACCAGACAGGAAGTAGAGGCAGGATGATGAGAACAGGAGAATGCTAGGAAGGAGGAAGCCTAATTCCCTCCATTCCTGCCCAGACCACAGAAGAAGCAGGATGTGACCTACCCCACTGAAAAAGATACCAAGCCATGTGGCTAAAATAGATAATAATAATGGGTTAATGTAAGTTACAAGAGCTAATAAGTAGCCTGAGCTAATGGGCCAATTAGTTTATAATCTTATGGAGATCTATGTGTGGTTTTCTTTGGGGCCTGCTGGCTGTGGGGAACTGGGCAGAAACCCCACGAGCAGCCCCTCATGTTACAAAGCAGATAATGTACATAAAGGTCATAGCGCAATGAACACAGAGACAGGCACAGAGTAAATGATACTACTTTTTGCCAAATCCAGATATTACCCCTCACTACCCTAAAGCTTTTTGTTGTTTTTCCCCTTCAAGAAACATTTGCACTTGCTGTGGCGTTCTGGACTGGTTCTGTCCTCACTTGTGGCCAATTGTAACCGTGTACAATAAACCACCTTTGTCACTGTCAAAAAAAAAAAAAAACACTTGCTAGGATTGGTGGTACATGCATTCATTCTGTGGTTGTTTGAATAATAACCCCCACAGGCTCATATATTTGGATACTTGTTCCCCCAGACTGCGGAACTACTTAGGAAGGATGAGGTGTAGCCTTGTTGTTGGAGGAGGTGTGTCACTGGAGGCAGACTTTGAGGTTTTAACAGACTCCAACCATCCCCAGTGTGCTCTCTAATTCCAGCTTAAGGTTTAAGGTGTGAGCTCTCAGCTATTTCTGCTGCCTCCTTCTCTCTGCCATCATAAATGTGGATTCTCTGGAACTATAAGCCCTAATTCAATGCTTTCTTTCATAAGTTTCATAAGTTGCTTTGGTCATGGTGTTTTATCACAGTAATAAAAAAGTAACTAATATACCAGTAATATCAGAACTTCAGAGAATCCCAGCACTCGGGTGGCAGAGGCAGGCGGATCTCTGTGAGTTCGAGACCAGCCTGGTCTACAGAGCTAGTTCCAGGACAGGCTCCAAAGCCACAGAGAAACCCTGTCTCGAAAAACAAAAAAAAAAAAGAACTTCAGAGATAAGAGCAGGGGAATCAGGAGCCCAACTTTAGTTAGATTAAACCCATTTAAAACCAAAATATATCTAAGATAGACATACATGGAACTAATCTACATGGGAAGTAGAAAAAGACAAGATCTCCTGAGTAAATTGGGAGCATAAGGACCACAGGAAAGGGTAGAAGGGGAGGGGAGAGGGAGAGAGGGGAGTGGAGAAAAATTTATAGCTCAATTTAAAACAATAAAATAAAATAAAACCAAAATACAAAAAAACCCTTTACTTTCCAAGTTTAACCAAATATGGTTTTTCTTCAAGGAAACTATTTTCTTCATACTAGTACCACTCAAAGTGTAATCTACAGTCCAATACTGATCTGTGAACTGCTGATTACAGATCTATGTTAAGTACAGAAAGTGAAAATAGGTATAACTTCTCAGCAATCTGACAGGATGCTGTAATAGTCATTGAATCTAATAATGAAAAATTGGAGTTTATTATATTGCTTTTTGTTCACATTATTTTTCTAGTCATTCTTTTTATTCTACAAAATCCATTTGTTATA